TTATGTTGTTTGTGGCTATTGTAAAGGATGATGTTTCTCTGATTTCTTTCTTAGCCCACTTTTCCTCTGTATATATTAGAGCTATTGTTTTTTTTTTTTTTTTGAGTTAATCTTGTATCCTGCTATTTTGCTGCACGTGTTTACCAGACTATTGTTTTTTTTTTTGAGTTAATCTTGTATCCTGCTATTTTGCTGCACGTGTTTACCAGTTGTAGGAGTTCCCTGGTAGAGGTTTTCAGATCACTTAAGTAAACTATCATATCATCTGCAAACAGTGAAAGTTTGACTTCTTCCTTTCCAATTTGTATCCACTTGATCTCCTTTTGTTGTCTTATTGCTCTAGCTAGTGCTTTAAGTGCAATATGATGAGATATGGAGAGAGTAGACAGCCTCGTCTTCCTCCTGATTTTATAGAAATTGAGTTGAGTTTCTCTCCATTTAGTTTGATGTTGACTGTTGGTTTACTGTATATTGCTTTTGGGATGTTCAGGTATGTTCCTGTTATCCCTGATCTCTCCAGGACCTTTATCATGAAGGGGTGTTGAATTTTGACAAAGGATTTTGCAGCATATAGTGAGATGATCATGTGGTTTTTCTTTTTCAGTTTGTTCATATGGTGGATTACAATGGTAGATTTTCATATGTTGAACCAACCCTGCATCCCAGAGATGAAGCCTATTTGGTCATGGTGGATGATTTTTCTGATATGTTCTTAGATTCCAGGTCAGAATAAGCTTATTTCTTAATCTTACTTGTGTCGATGTAATATAAAAACAGAGTCTTGGCATTTTAAGTAAAGTGGTTTAAAAAGAGTACAGTATTACTCATTTATAGTCCCAGCTACTCAAGAGACTGGTAAAAGGATTACTTGATTCTACAAGTTCAAGTATTATCTATTTAACATGGTGAGACCTAGAAAATAAGTAAATAAATTGTTCCCAGTTTTAGTGGCTTGGAGTACCAAAGAGCATGTCTATAGAATTTTGACAGGGACCTCCTCCGCTGATACAAAACATAATAGAAAAGCAAAAGAAACTGGCCACATGTAGAATAGGCCAAGTATTTTTAGTTGACATTACTTTATAATAATACTGCTCTGGCAGTAACTACTCCATTTCTGAAACAAGACCACTTCAACAAGATTTAACTCATTCATGAGCCCTCATGGACTAATCACTTCCCAAATGAGTCCCACCTCTTGCAGGCCCTAACACCTCAATTTGAGAGACCATAGTTGTATCACAGGAGTCCTGGGGAAAAAAAACTCTGAAATGCAACAGTGAGCTTTTAACAATTTCAAATGGTGCAAAGTCATAGATCATAAAGTTGTGTTAGTGGTGCTTGTAGAATTGCAAAGTTTGGTCTTTTAAAGCAATTTGGAAGATACAATCCTGACTTGACTTCTGTAGACAATATACTGGTTGAGTTACCTATCTACTTACTGCCCAATTTTCCTCATATGTAGCATGATGACTAGGTAGAATCTGTCCCTTACAGATATTATAACACATCATTATTCAATTCAATTATATTCTTAGAACAACAACTTTCCAAGGCAGTGCACCCTCATAAGGTATTCATACATAAGTCAGAGTAGGAGATGGTGGGATATAGTACCATAACTATCAATAATTGAAGAGACAAATGATAGCACAATCCTATCAGGTCCCTTTGAACAATGAAGGTTGGGATACTGGAATGTGAGTGCAAAAGCTATATTAGAAAATGGGAAAGCACTATTGAAATGGAGCAAGTAGACCTAAATAAGCACACCGCCTATGTTCACTAAGCAAAAGTGAAGACCGTGCCGGAGAAGTTCTCCAAGTCAAAAATAGCAATATATAGCTAATACAGAAGAAGATGTGTACTCTGAAAAACTCATAAAACATTGTATTGTAGAACTAAATGAGTATAAAGGGCCTGGATTCATAAGCAAAAGACTGTTGTGAGATGTCTGTGCTCCCCCAAAACAACCTGCAGATGTGGTAGGAATTCATCATTATCTTAGTAGGCACTGTGTGCAAATGAAAAAGTTGATTTTAAATTCATATGAAATTTCTAGGAACCTCAAATTGTCAAGACAATGTTGAAAAGGGTGAAAACTGGCCTAATCTTTGTGTGATAATGCGTACTTGTAATTTCAACACTCAAGCTAGATGGCTCACAAGTTGGTTTCAGCCTGAGTCACATACCCTGTCTCAAACAAAAGAAAAAGTGTTAAACTTCCAGTCATCATATAACCCAGAAACTGTGTGAGTACTCCTAAATGAAATAAAAATCATATCCACACAAATTCTTGCATAACATCATTTTATTTATAATATTTTTCTTTCTACTATTTTTAAAAACAATCATTTTGCATATCAATCTCGACCCCAGTTTCCTCTCCCTCTCACCCTCCCATGCCCCCAACCTACCCCCAATCCCACCCACTCCCCAAGCACAGTGACGCCTTCCATGTGGAATCATCAAAGTCTTCACAATATTTGGGGGAAGGCCTAGGCCCCCCCTCCATGTATCTGGGGGGAAATAGTATCAATCCATGGGGAATGGACTCCCAAAGTCCATTTGTGCACTAGGGATAAATACTGGTTCCACTGTTAGAAGACCCATAGACTACCCAGGCCTCCTCACTGGCACTTACATTCAGAGGGTTTGGTTTGATCCAATGCTGGTTTCCCAGCTTTACAACTGGGGTCCATGTGCTCTCACTAGGTCAGGTCAGCTGGTTCTGTAGGTAGCTCCAGCATGGTCTTCACTCCTTTGCTCATCCCTCCTCCTTCTCTAAAACTGGATTCTAGGAGTATGGCTCAGTGCTTAGCTGTGGGTGCCTGCTTCTGCTTCCATCAGCTCCTGGATGAAGGCTCTAGGAGGGCAATTAAGGTAGTCATCAATCTTATTAAAGGGGAAGGGCATCAAAGGTGGCCTCTTTACTACTGCCTAGATTGTTAGTTGAGGTCATCTTTGTGGATCTCTGAACATTTCCCTAGTGCCAGATTTCTCTTTAAACCTATACTGGCTCCCTCTGTTAAGGTATCTCTTTTCTTGCTCTCCTCTATTCCTCCCCTGACTCAGCCTTCCTGATCCCTCATGTCCTCCCTCCTCCTCTTCTCCCCTTCTCTTTTTCCTATCTCCCTCACCTCTCCCCTCATGCTCCCAATTTGCTCAGGAGTTCTTGTCCCTTTCCTCTTCTTCAGGGGACCATATATTTTTCTCTTAGGGTCCTTGTTGCTTTAAAATTAAAATATAATCATATGATTTCCCCCCTTGTTACCCCAACCCCTCCAATTTTATACTCCTATTTTCAAATTCATGGCATCATTTTCTTTAAATATTATTGCGTGTGTGTTTTTTTTTATGTATGTATGTTTGAACACATATAAATATAAATACAACTTGCTGAGTGCATTTAGTATTGTTTGCATATATAGTGTAGTTGGAGATTTAATAGTGAAAATGTATATGTCCAAGAGTTTTTAGACATTTTGAAAAGCTAATTGAAATGTTTTGTTTGTTTGCTCTGTTTACTTTTTTTTTACCCAATCATAGCCTGAGTGTCATGAAATTTCACAAGAGCCTCTGAAAGAAATTCAAGCTCTTACCAAAAAGCCATAGTCACAATTAAATTTTATTTCCTAGCTCTATCAACTCTCCTTCCCTATTCTCTTCTATAATCCCACTGACAACTTGCCTACCCGCCTTCAGAAGATGGCTGTGCATTCGTGGAATCAGTTTCATTGAAATCTCCAAGCAAAATTTTACATACACAGCATAGGCAAATAAAATCTCATCTCATGCCCAAAGACATCAAGGCTCACACCTGGGACAGACACAGGCCAGCCATGAACACTACTGCTTGCCTTGGCAAAGGCTTCTTTGAAATCAGAACATGTCCAAATCCTTAGATTCATTTTGACTCCCCAAAGGCACAAGGTCTTTCTGCACATAAATGTAGCAGTCATTATAGCTGTCTTCAATTACAGAAACAGATGTGGTATATCTGGTCTGCCAAAGTAGTCACTTTGAGAGCACTTCTCATGTCTTCCTGTTCCATATTCCACAGAGTGCTCATGTGTGGATGAAAGGCACTATGTAGTCCCATACCACATTCATATTCCTGGGACTATGCCACCACATTTGCCACTGAGCTTTTTGTCTATTTGTCTTAGAAAAATAAATTTGTGTGACTAGCTATGTTTCCAGGTAGTGGCGGTGAAAACCCTAAATCCTAGCACTTTTAGGGCAGAGGCAGAGACATGTGGATCTCCATGAGTTCAAGGTTAGACTGGTCTACAGAGCAAGTTCCAGTACAGGCTACATAACTACACAGAGAAACATTGTCTCAAAAAACAAATAAATAAAATAAATGACTAGCTATGTTGTGTCCTGTTCTCCTTGCTTTTGAGAAAAGAAACTGGAAGACCTGGACAGAAAGATGAAAGCCTTTTTCTGAGTCACATACCAAGACAGTGACAGAGTCTACAGTACAGGAATTCTGCCTCATATGCCCTCATTCATTCCATGATTTTTGGTTTGGAGTTAAGAGTTGCTTTAGAATTTTCTGTTTCTATTTAAAATAATTTATTTTTCATTTTACATACCAACCCAATTCCCCCTCCCTCCTCTTCTATTGCCCCCACTTTCCCCCTTCCCACCCCCTATCCACTTCTCACAGGAAGTCTGGCATACCAAGTTGAGGCAGGACCAAGCCCCTGCCCCTGTATCAAGGCTGAGCAAGGTGTCCCATCGTAGACTTTTTTTCTTAAAGATTTTTTTTATTCTCTCATACAATACATCCCAATTGCAGTTGTCTCATCCTCCACTCCTCCAAGTCTTCCCATCTTCTCTCTCCCACCAGATCCATTCCTCTTCCATTTTCCTTCAGAAAGCAGCAAGCCTCCCATGTAAATCAACCAAATACAACATAATAAGATACAATAAACCTGGGCATAAACGCTCATATCAAGGGTGTACAAGGTAACCCAAAGGGATGAATGGAGTCCAAGAGTAGGTAAAAGAGTAAGAGACATTGAACACTCTCATTGTTAGGTGTCCCATGAAACCCCAAGCTAACAACCATGACATCTATGCAGAAGAGCTAGCACAGACCAATGCAAGCTCTATGATTGCTGCTTCAGTTTCTATGAGTACCTAGGAGCCCTGCTTAGTTGATTCTGTGGGTTGTATTCTGGTGTCCTCCACCCCTCTGCAATCCTTCCTCCGCCTCTTCCAAGGGGTTCTTCTAACCCCAAGTTACTTATTTCTTGATAATTTGGGGTATATATTGTACCTTGATCATATCAAACCTCAACTCCCACTTCTACTACACTAGGACATGTAACTTATTATCTTGATGCCTCTTTCATTTCCTAATAGCTCACTATTTAGTTAGTGTTGTCCAGATTCATGTGGGTACAGAGTCATCCGCCAGAGCATGAAAAATCTACAAGGGGCCACACCACCAAACAAAATTCTTCTTAAGCAGCTTTCAACTGTCAGTAACTCTTCAGCTACGAATGAGGCTTTGGGGATCTCTGTCCACTCAGTACTGTAATGCTGGTTTTCTTGATTTTGTATGAGTCTTCTGCAGTCAACAACTGGTAAGACCACAAGTCTTGTCATGTCCAGAACACAGTATCTCTCTACTCTCTTCTCTACCCTCTGGCTCCTGCATTCATTTCTCTCTTCTTCTGAAATGATTCCCAAGTCTTTGTGAGGGATAAGAGTGTTGCGTTAGTTTCTTCTTTAACAAGTCACTACAAATTCATGACCTAAACAGAAGACATTTATTATCTCCCATCCTTTGGGATTAAATCATACTTACTTACATAATAAAGGATAATATCCAATTTCAATATACTTAATCACATCTGTAGAATCCTTTTAGAAATGTAAAGGAACATATTCACAGTTTCCTATGACAGAATGTGGACATCACTGGGGCATTTTACCACAATAAGAATTTTATTCTCAGACAAATGAAAGGACTGAAAAAAATCTGTCTCCTGAATTCTCCTTAAAAACGTAATATAATTCAAACATAATAGGAAGTGAAAGACATGTTATTAGTTACATTATGAGTCAGCTCATGTCTTACGTGGAAAGTGAGGAACACTGCATCTTACTAACCGTATGATTTAAACAGCTCCCAAGGAGAAATTCAGCAGCAAAGCTTTGCATTGTTCTAACATAGAAATAAGCATTTACAATAAAATTATCTTTAAAAGTTGTCTGTCAACTGTTCAATGAACATATCTCTAAGCTAAAGTTTTTCATGCTTCTCACTCCTGTGTCACCTTTTATGCTCAAATCACTCACTTGCCTTTGCATGAGGCTGCTTTCTTCTTGCCATTCTCCTATATAATATTTCCACAAGATTATATACATCTAGATGCTTACACACACACACACACACACACAGAGAGAGAGAGAGAGAGAGAGAGAGAGGGAGAGAGAGAGAGAGAGAGAGTCACAGACACACATGGTTGATAAACAAAAACTGAGATCTGCTGTCTTAGGAGAAGCTTATTTACTTGCATCCAGAGAGCCATAGCAAGGAAGGCTTCCCAGATTCCCAGATTCTTTCCTTATTTTGGAATGTTTGTAACAATTTCATTTCATATTTTAGGTGTCTCTTCATGAAAGTTAAGTCATCAATCATAAAGTGAATTTCTCTAAAAATGATATTTTCAAGATTTTAATTTTTGTTGTAACTTAGTAGTTTTCTACAATTAGGAAATGCAATACTTTGCCCCTCTCACCCCCATCCTGTTTTTCAGGTACATGGTGCATTGATTTGTCTCACATTTTCTCTTTAAAATTCTGAAGGGTTTCGTATAAACACTTCTGTTTCAGCAATGATGTATTCACTTCAGAATGAGGGGCTCCCAGCTGAGAGGAATTTATGGCTATTTTCTTTCCATTTCAAGTATTATCTGGTACATACAGATCAGCTTTGTTTAACCATTCCTGTTATAGTGGTAGTGGTATGGTTTGAATATTAAATGCCCTCTAAATATTCATATGTTGGAAGCTTGGTCCTTAGCTGGTTGTGCTATTTGGGAGGCTGTTCATCCTACCTGAGAGAATTGGGCCATTGGTGGGCTATTCTTTGGGGCATTTTCTTATCTTCTCTGCCTATTCATTCTGGTTCCCATGACATGGGCAGCGTTTTTTAACCATACCCTTCTGTCATGATGTTTTGCCTCATGACAGACCCAGACAAAGTTCAGACTGAAGCCTCTGAGGTCATGACCCAAAATAAATCTTATCTTCTGGTATTAGTTTTGTGTCCCTAAGTCCAAAAATCTTGAGAGAAGTGATTACTTATTTTGACTTACAGCCTTACAATGTTCAACCCATCAATTAGTTCATGTCATGGCAGGCAATGACTCAGAGAAATGGAATTCAGGATCTTCATTATTTTGCCTTCTCACCATTATTCAATTATGTTTCCAATTTATGGTATGGCATGGCCCATGTTTACTATGGGTCTTCGTAACCTAAATAAGTTGTATGGAAATTACCTCAAAGACAAATCACAGGTGTACCTTACAAATCTTGGGTAATTAGAAATCCAGTCAAGTTGACAATTAAGTTTAACTGTACAGATCCTTTTAAGATGTTTAAGTTGTTTCCCTCTGGTATTTGTCAAAGCTGTGAAAAACTGAGTAACCGAGAAAATACTTGTGATGGTTAATCATGACTTGATTTGCTTGAGAGATGCCTAGTATAGATATTAGTAAAATACTTTGGTATCTGGAAGATATTTGTTTCATTGCCACCCAATACCTCTGGCTCCTACACCCTTTCTTACCCCTTTTTCACAATGATCCCTAACTCTCTGGAGGACATGTACAGAATACATATTCCATTTATGGCTGAGCATTCTTCAGTGTCTTGTTCTTGTGATTCTCTCTGTTAATTTTTATTATTGCAAATAGAAGCTTCTTTGATGAGGGTTTGAAGATGCATTAAGCCATGGCTATAATGATAAGTGGTTAGAAGTCAGTTCAGAATAATATTAATAGGTTCCCCCCTCATGTCAGCAGAGTTTCTTTGTGTCCTGGCAGCCACTCCCAAATAACCACTCAGAGACTTATTATTAATTCTGAATTCTTGGTCAAAAACTTAAGTTTGTCTCCAGTCACCTCTTACAATTTAAATGAACATATTTCTATTAATCTATATGCTGCCCTGAGGCTCCTTTACCTCATCTGTGAACTTTCTTCTGCATCTGACTCCTGACTCCTCATCCTTTACTCTTCCTCTCCCCAGCATTCTCTCTGCACTGAAAATACTGTCTAGCCATCGGCCAATCAGGTTTTTATTAACGGTGAGAGCAACACATCTTCACAGTGTACAGGATTATTTCACAGCACTCCAGCACCTGTGAAATCTCTAGCCATAGGTTCATGGCCCTGATACTGGTGCCAAGTATGGGTTTCATCTTGTGTAAAAAGCCTTAATTCAAATCTGAAAGTTGTTTGTTACTTCCATGATTCTTGTGCAACTACTGAACAAGTATGCATGTCTTCCCTGGCCAGTTATTAGTGTGGCTCACAGGGTTCACAGCTGTATAAGCATGCATAGCACCTTGTGGCACTACAAACTAGCCAGTAAGCATGAAGCAGTACTTATCAGATTCCTCCATGTTCTATGAGTCAAGGCTATCTTCAGCAATAGAACATTACTGTCAAGTTCTGGCTGGTAAATGAGGGCAATGGTGACAGCCTAAAACGTTTGTGAAATGTCTAAGCCAAAATGAAATGAATGCTTGTAAAATCATTGTTTTCCATACCTAATGAAATGATGGTAATTCTGAAAGACCAACAAGACTTAGAAATGTTCACATAAACAATCCATTTAAAATGGCAACAGTAGTTTTTGCTAAGCTGGCAAGTTGCTGGGCTACTTTGAAATAATGGTGTCTTTGATTGGGGATGTGAAGCTAACACAGGATATAGAAATGGAAATTATATTTTAGTATAGTCCTGACAGTAATTACAAATGCCTCTCCATTACTACAAAGTGATATTAAAATTACCACAGTACAAGAAGCTCAGAATTAGGAATAATGAGAGGTAACCATTCCCTTGTTATTAGTCAATGTTAGATTACAACTAGTACATATCCAACACGCCTCCACATCTGGAGTCGGATAAACGCATATCCTGAGTGGGTTTTTGTTTTGTTTTTTGGTTTTTTTGTTTTGTTTTTGTTTTTTTTTTTTTTTTTTGATACGTCAGGCTCAGTGAAGCTCTTTAAGTAACGCCAGGGTAGGTAGAAAACACAGATTTGTGCTTACAAGGAAACTGGATCTAGGATCCTCAGAACACATTTCTTGCATTGCTGTGGTTAGTCAGATTAAACTCCACACTTTGAGCCTCAGTTCCTATGTCCAAGACCTGCAACATCATCATCATAAGAAAATAGCAAAAGCTTGCTAAATATCAATTCACAACTTCCTATGTTCTCTTGCAGAATGAACTTATTCTTTATCTTTACAAAACATTACTAGTTCAAAACTTATCTCTCCTCGGGTATTTTCTCTGATTTCTACAAGGAAAGTGCTGCAAAGCCAAGTTTATTCATTTTGTTTTGTTTACTAATGTAATTTAACACTTTGAAAAATCTTAGCTTACCCTACAATGGAAGTTTCTAAATATTTGCTGGAAAAATGAATCAAGATCTACAGCCTGTAATTTGGTTTTCATGAAAACAGTAATGAATCATGCAAGGTTGTGAACACAATGTGCTAAAACTGTGACTGGATTCCAGGCCCATAGCATACGAATGTGTAAATTGGAAACTGCTTGCAAGCACCCTGCTTTCAGGAGGAGAGCTGATACTAAAATTTAGAGTGTTAGATCTTCTCAAAACGAAGATTAACATCCACTCAGGAAGGTACATTTTCAATTTGCACAACAGGTTCTGCTTCTAGGGTCTTTGTTTGCCTGGAAAAGATACGTTTTTGTAATCCTGACAAAGGTGCTGTATGCATCTACCTGGCATGGGGGCATTTTATCTTTGTTCATTCTTTGCAGTATCATACAGGCCTAGACATACCATGGATGTCCAATAAAAAAGATTCCTGTAGGTAGTTATGGAAAAAGATTATAGAGTCATCTTTCCTCATTATTTTTTGTTGTTTTTTTGCATTATATCAGGCTATCAAAGACAAGGCCAACAGGGTGGGAAATACAATATATCTACAACTTCCACTGCTTCAACAAAGGAATGGCTTTCTAACAAGTCAACAGTATTGCCACACACTAGTTAAGCTGGCTGTAAAATAATCAATTATTTTAACATCAGTGTCAGTAAATATATTGAACAGCATGACACTTAAGAGTAAAAAACAACAGCAAATGAAGTGAGCCATGTAAGTGAGCAAAGACAGTGTTGTGAAGATCTATATGGTTTCCTTTTCCTTAACTGTCTACATATATTAAAATGCTTCCAAACGAATGCTTAATAAAATAAATGACATCATTTAATAATGTTCGGAAATTATCATAAAATCTCAAAATACTTTTGAATAAAGTTTCTAGTCGTAATTCTCTAAATATCACATTATTTGACTTTTTCTAATTAATTATTGCAATTTTTAAGAAATGAGTACTTTTGCTCAAAGAAAGCACTTTTCATACTGAACCTTTAGCATGAGGCAAATTCGTGGATGGTTGAAAACACTTTTTTCTGATTCTTTGTGGAATAATGAGCTGGAGAGGCATTTTAAGGTACTGTGAGTGGGTGGAAATTAAACCTCTACATCAGTACATGACTCAGTGCCCATTTTACCATATGAATTAAGGGTAACTAAGAGCAAGTAACGACATACAGGCATAAATTCTTTAGTATAATGCTTGTGAAATATGATTAACAAACCAGAGATTTTAAAAAGTGTGGGGGGTGGGGGTGTGTGTGTTCGTGTCTGTGAGTTCAGATACATTTGCCACAACACATTTGTGGAGGTTAGAGGCTGACTTCAGATTGTGGTCTTCTCCTATTACCTTGTTTGAGACTGAGTCTCTTGTTATTCAGCACTGTATGTATACCAGATGCCAGATCGACAGAAGCAGAGGATTCTGGGAATTCTTGTGTCTCTGCTTCCTATCTCACCACAGGACTGCTGGAATTACCAATGAGCCTCAGACTTTTCCATGCATACTGGGGATCTGAACTGAAGTCCTCATATTTGCATGGTAAGTGCTTTATCCACTGAGCCATTTCCTCAGTCTGATAAGAGAATTTTAATCTCAGAAGGTAGCAAGTTGTAGAAAAATCAACAAGAGTAAGAGGCTTATGTGTAGCAGCCCACAAAGTAATAACTCACAATTCTTCAGTGAGAAAAGCAAATAAAGACAGGAGTGCAGGAAGTTCTCTTGGAGACTATTTCTAAAATAGCACATGACAGCACCATATCTTGCATTAGCCAGTTAAGGACAGAAATTTAATAACTGCCTTCAAGAGCGTGAAGGGCCATTATGTTGACAGTTCTGTCCTCTGCAGAGCCCAAATTCTTGGAACTACAAGAAAATTTAGAAACTTACAGATGATTACAGACATTGTCTTGAGAAGTACAGGAGATTGAGATAATCTCTCCAAAGAAAGCAAGAGAAAATTGAAAAACACTCTATCTATAACCAATAAAAATTTACCTCTGAGCACAATTTTCTAGCTTGTTGCAAAGGCTAGTAGCTACACACCTTGGAGTTAATGTCTAGCCAGAATGCTCTAGGTGATGTGGTGTTCCATTAGAATAGAGTTATGCTCGAAGAAATGGCAAGAGTGAGAGTCAACAATAAGGGGAATAATGCAAATACATATTTCCACATGATTTTATATTTATTTGCCAATATAATAAACATGACAATCTTAAGATAGACTCTCTGATTTTAGACTAAGGCTCAGAGAAGTTCAGCTTTAAAGTCTACAGTCTTCCTCAATGTCTGTAAGTAAATCTTCTGTAAGACAAAGTGTGCTTGTTTGAGAGTCTGGAAACCTTGCTTCTGCTTTTGGCTCTGCCATTAACAGGCCATATGACCCTAGAAATGTCCCTTCTTGTGTCATAGCTTTCATACCATGTTCTAAATCACTAATATTCTGTAGTAAATTTTGGACAATTCATCCTCCTGGCACTATACATAAGGAAACAAGGGTAGCCATTCAGAATTTATCAATCTCTTTCCCTGTAAATCTTCATAGCATAACAGATATGAAGAAGCTTGATTCATCTTCTTCAAAGTAAAGTTATGAGACATGTGTGGAGAGGGAATGGAAAAAGAGGGGGAAGAAGGGAGAAAGAGAAAGGGAGAGAGGACAGAAAGAGAGAGAGAGAACTTGTTTGTACTGTGTCTATTTTTTTTCATGAAGTTTGATCTGGCAAATACTATGCCAGAAATTTACCTCAGAAGAGGACCTTCATTCACCAATTGCTTACCTTATTATATGCCTGGGACCATGCAATGCAGTTTTATATTCCTATATCTCCATATCCTCTCCATCACCACCCTTGTGTATTTTCATAATCTTTTTTTTGACAGATGAGAAAAACTCTGTTTGCAAGAAGAAAGGACTTGCTCAGTTATGCAGTTAAGATAAACAGAGGTAGGAATACAAAGAATGTTGCTAAATCCCAAAGCTCATGATCCATATCCTATACTTTAGGGGAATATATGTTATGTAAAAAAATATCCAGTCCCTTTGTAAAATCCTATTTTGGAAATAAAACACAAAGATAAAGAGATAAACTAATTCATTTTAATAGAGGCTATTTCACTCACTATTGAAATCTGCTTAACTGATGCCAGCTATACCTATTACTCATCACCACTTACCTTCCTACACAAACTGTAGATTCTGTTCTTCCTTTTTTGTAATTTACCCCCTAACTCCTAGAGGCTAAAATCAACATGTCTCCTGTATTATCTTTCTCTATGTCTTTACAGCATCTGTCAGTGCATGCTAACCCTTTCTGTGAAATATTTTTGTATATGATTTCCATCACAGAAACCTATTTTTTCTATTTGGACCTCAATGTCCTAGTCTGTACAATGTTCCCATCTAAATTACTGGACTAGAGCCATCCAAATAAGCAGCTCTGTAGTATAAGTGTCCCAAACTTCCCTTGTATTCTCTAGCACCATGATATCTATCTCTTTTCTTTGACTTACTCCATTTCCCCTGCTCCTCCCCTATCATTTCCTCATGTTTGGTTGTGAAGAGTATGTTTTCTTCCTTAATATCTGTTACATTGGCAAATTAATGTATTTACTCTTTGTGTAGTCTTGTCCAAGTACATATATTGCCTCCCATTAAACTCCAATATCAGTTAGCACTACTACTATAAAACTTAATACTTTGCTGTTTGTTAGCTTATGTTTCTCAGTGATTATCCTGTGTGTAAACCTTGCATTCTCTACTGGATGTGAGAAGAGAAGTAGCACTATACCCCTTCAATTCTCCATGGCATCTAGTATGATTGGAGAACAGTGATAATTGATAATAAGCATTGGAGACTTAATGAGATAACACTAAAGAGCAAGGTTAGGTGTATGTGTGTGTGTGTGTGTGTGTGTGTGTGTGTGTGTGTGTATGTCTGTGTGTACATGTGCATGTGTATGTGTATGTATGACTTTCTATTGTTTATCTATCTGCCTGGTTGTCACTTGTTACCTTACATCTAAGTGGAATAACAATGTGGCCTTATATGCCTGATTTATTTAGTTTAAAATGAGATTTTCAATGTTCATTAATGTTGTAGTAGATAGCAGTTGTTCATTTCCTTTTATTATTGAATAACACCCCTTGTAAAGATATACTACATACTTTTTATCCATCCACCAATTTGTGGATATCCTTCCAGTTTCCACTTACTGACTTTTTTATTAAAATATTTTTTATTTCAGAAACAATCTTATTTTACATATCAATCACCCCATTCCCTCACCCTCTCATTCTCCTGTGCCCCCGGCCTACCCACCAACACACTCCTCACCCACTCCCCAAGGATAGTGAGGCCTTTAATGGGGGCTCATCAAAGTCTGTCTTACCATTTGGGGGAGGGGGTTACTCTTAAGGTTAATGTTGCACAGCTGTATCAAACCTCCAGGCCAAGTTTGTCCTGCACAGATGTACTAGGCTCCAGCCTGATGAGTTAACTTGTTCCTGCCCTACTTGTACCCTTTCTGATCCTCAGATCTATCCTGAGCCCCACATACAGTGCCCTGGTCTAGTCAGGTGAGCCTGACTCACATCACTCCTAAACTCCTTATTTGGGCTAGTACTTACAACCTATGTCTATGTAGTATGTCCTATTCTCTATGTAGTCTAAGAGTTCCATCTTGGCTCACACAGCCTGCATCTGGGCAAAATCTAGTGAGTCTGACTGATCTGACATTGTCTGCATCCTCCTTAATCCTAAGATCTAGCTGGGGTCCCACATACAGTAGTTCTCTGGTTTAGTCTGGTAGAGTCACTCATATTTTGTACAATCTGCAAGTTTGGGTAAGAAAACATATCCTACATAATATCCCAGGCTTCTAAATCTCAATCAATCATATCCAACCTTCAGACCCAAGTCAGCTTGATAATTCTGTACTCCAACCCAGAATTCTGTGCCCACATCATACAAAAAGTAATGAAAGAAATTCATATTCTCAGATCTCATTGCAAAAGTACAAACAATATGAAAGATAATGATGGCATACTTCACCTATCGTGTAGGAATTTTTTTCAATGAGAATTAGGTAGTGAACCCCAAACACAGAATTGAAAAGAACAGTCACAAATATCATCAAAATTCAAGGAATTTAAAGAAGACACAGGTAAACAACTCAATAAACAAAAGAATTTCAGCAAAGTGACAGGATGCAAAATCAATTTATAAAAAGCAATAGCCTTTCTGTATACCAACAATAAATTCACTGACAAAGATGTCATGTACAGACTCCCACTCATATTAGCCTCAAAGAAATAAAAGAGGAATAAACCTAAGCAAGGTGAAAGACCTCCACTATTAAAACTGTAAATCTCTGAAGAAAGAGATTGAAAGGACACTAGAAAATAAAACTCCCATAGTCATGACTCGTAAAATTAATACCATGAATATAACATTTCTACAAAAAGCAATGAAAATATTCAACGTAGTACGAATCAAAATCCTTACAAAATTCCTCATAGAAGAGGAAAAAGTCCTAAAACCCACATTGAACCACAAAAGACTCCAGATAGCCAAAGTACTCCTAACTAAAATAAAATGGTCAAGAAAATACCATTACAAATTTCAAGATACATTACAGAGCATTAGTAACAAAACAGAATGACACCACACACAAAAAAGGTATGTACATAAATGAAAGAAAATAGAAGACCCATATATGAGAGCACATAACTACAGCCATATAAAATGCAACATCTACACCTAAGGCTCAGTGTCCATCATGGAGGGGGGAAGCAGAAGCATTTTGAGAGTCAGAGGACCAAGGAATCCACTATAAGATGGTGTCTTTTATACATGGCAGGGAAGCTGTAATCATGAAATTTCATCATTATGTTTGCCTAAATGAGACCCAAGAAAGCCAGTAAATATGTCAACAGAGATAAGAGAAATTTTACAAGGCCCCATGCCTAAACTAAGGGCTATAGATATCCAATGCCTGCTAAGAGAGGGAGAATCTCCAAGGAAGATGTTTGTGATAGATTATCCAACCCCAAAATGTTAGTCCTAAACACATACCCAACTGAGCAACACAACATGAACTCAGTAGAGGATATGTTCATAAATATATGTATAAAGAAATCAGAAATTTCTAAGAAGGAACAAGGGAGGAGCTGGAAGGGAAAGTTGGGGTGGAAATGTTAGTACATTCATGTATAAAATTCTCAAAAACCAATTTAATTACAAAAATTTCATATGTAATCCCATACAGTGTTGGTGCACATCTTTAACCTCAGCACTTTGGAGGCTGAGACAGGTGGATCTCTGTGAGTTCAAGGCCACCCTGGTCTACAGACTGAGTTCCAGGACAGGCTCCAAAGCTACAGAGAAACACTGTCTTGAAAAACGAAAATCAAACCAAAACAAAATTCTTATGTAGGCTCATAAAATAGAATATATTAAAATACACTTATAAGAGCTGAAAAGAACCATGGTTAATACAATCATAAAGAATGAACATCTAGAATTGGGTGCTATGCAAATACTCCAAACAGCCTATTAATTGAGTTTTGGGGACGTTGGGGAGTCAAGGCACAGATTTTATGAAGTCCAGTATGTGCAGTATGACTGCACTAGTTGCCTGCTAATGTTTCTTCAGTCAGCTAGTTTGACCAAAACAGAAAGAAAACTAGATAGAAGCTAGTTCTCCAAGCTTGTTAAAGGCACATCACATTTCTTCCCTAATATCTCACAAATGACTTTTATGTCATTGACTTGAACCACTCATCAACAGGAGACAAATCATGTGAATGTAGCATGTCAATCTAGTATGGATTCTGATCTAAACAAATCATTTTGATAATCCAGTTTCTCAGAAACTTGAGGAAATTTATCATAGATTATTAATAATAAAAAGGAATAATTAAATGTTTGAATCAGATGTGATTGTAAAATTGCACTTTTGCAAAATAATTATAATCACAGGTGAAGACAAAGACATAGTATTTTAGTTTTCTTTAAAATATGCTGACAGATTAGTTTGATTAGCAACCCTTGTTACGATAAATCTTTTTGCCAAAAGCCACCTGAGCCCCACCGCCATGTGCAAGCTTTACGCCAGCCACCTGCCCGAGTTAGGCCCAAATGAATACACAGAGAGACTTGTATTAGTTACAAAGCTGCTTGGCCAATGACTAGGATTTTCATTTGTTAGCTCAGTCTCAGTCAATTACTATACATCTATATATTTTATTAGACTTATCTTATTGGATGCTTTATTGGCGTCCCTCCTTGCTGGTGAATCACATCGTACCGCTGGAGAAGGAGCCGAGGGGAAAAGACAGCGACACTTCCTTTTTCCTCTTCTTAAATATGAGTCTCCTTGCTATGTCACTTCCTGTCTGGAACACCACTTCTCTACTACATTTCCCAGAATCCTCTTTGACTCCTAGTCCAGCCTAACCTGCTGTCTCATTGGCCAAGCAAGTACTTTATTTATAAACATACACAGAAGTACTTCCCCCATCAAACCCTTGACAATTTCTTTTCAGGGTCTTAGATAGCCCAGATTGGTCTCAAATTTGCTAGGTAACTAAGAGTGATCTTGACCCCCTGATCTTCCTGTAGCCATCTTTCAAATACTAGGATTTACATGTGTGTGTCACAGTTCCAAGCTCATAATCTTGACGATGTTCAAAGCTCTGCCTAGAAATTTCTGGGAATTCATCAAACTATTCTAGTTTTCTTTGTATCTGAAGTTTTCATAGTTTAAAAAGCTGATTTTGCTGTATGTTTTGCCTCTACTTTATAATACAGGATATAGCCCTTACTCCCTCAGGTGTCAGTATCTACAAAAGACTAGTGTAGAATACTATTTAATCCTTTATTTTTTGTAACTCAATAGTAGAATGAAATGTGCATTTAACTACAAGCTGTGGAAAATAGGAAGATCACTTCACAAAAGCAGAATTTTCAAGTTGCTTTGTGCCTCTGTTAGATGAACTTCTCTTTTGGTCATTTGTGTATAGTGATGGAAGTATGGAGCATTTCATGCAAAATGGGATGTATTGTTGACATAAGATGAAACAAATACCAATACTCAAATAAGTACAAATTTGTCAACAGGAATGTGTGAAAAATTCACATATAATAAAACCAAGACATGATACATTTCTTTTTGTTCCTCACATTGGAAACAAGTTCACAATTTGTATGATATTCATTATTGTTTACAGTTTGAAAACAACACACTCACATAGCTTGTTGTACAGATTTTCTAGAAACAGTTTAAGAATATATACAATAGCCTTAGAATATGAATGTATATATTCCTTGATTCAGAAATTCCACTTGTAGAAACTAGTAGCAAGAAATAGTCAAGCAATATGAAGAAATAGTTCTATACAAAAATCACTACATCGTATCTCTCCAACAACACTCCTCACCCTTAAAACATCTTCTCCCTAATGTTGTCTCCTTTTTTAAATAAAAATGAGTACTATCTATATTATGCACATGACTGTGGAGTCATTCAATGGAGTATAAGTAACATACCAGTAAACAGTCCCTCTCCAGATAAAAATGACTTTCCATCTCTCAACAACTAGGCAACTATCAAGAACACATATGGCTGGGTGTTGGTGGTGCACACCTTTAATCCCAGCACTCAGGAGGCAGAGGCAGGCAGATGACATATGGCTGGGTGTTGGTGGTACACACCTTTAATCCCAGCACTCAGGAGGCAGAGGCAGGCAGATCTCTGTGAGTTTGAGGCCAGCCTGGTCTCCAGAGCGAGTGCCAGGATAGGCTCCAAAGCTACACAGAGAAACCCTGTCTGAGAAAAAAAAAAGAGCACATATGCTAAGGGTGGGATTTTAAGAGATCCTCCCATCTCTGTTGTAGAATGTTTAACTGAAATTGTCTTGTTCTGGACTTTTGCAGATATACACAGCTGTTGTGTGTTCATGTGTGCAATAGCAGCCATGTCATATCCAGAGGACAGCAGTTCACAGCCATCATCTCTGGCTCTTACATTGTCTTTGACCCCTCCTTCTTGATGTTTCCTGAGACTTTCAGGAAAGGTTGATATCAGTGTTCCATCTACAACAGAGTACTGTTGGTTATTCTCAGCATCATGAATAGTTGCAATGATATAGAAAACCTCAGTTGGCCAAGCTATACAACTGTCACACATATGTAGAGGGCCTAGGTTGGTCCCATGAGGACTCACTCCTTAGCTGTTGGTTCAATGTCTGTGAGCTCCCATAGGCCCAGGTTAGTTGTTTCTGAGGCTTCATCAAGCCTTAATAAAAGTTTATGGGATTAGTGCTAACTCAACTTGATATGCCATGCTTTGTTGACACCCATGGGAGCCCTGCTCCCTCCTGAACAGAAACAGAGGTGGGGTGGATCTGGGAGTTGGGTGGGGGAGCAGAAGGGAGGTAGGGGAGGGAAAAGCAGGAGAGAAGGGAGGGGGAACACTGATGGGGATATAAAAGAAATGAATAAGTTAATTAATAAAAATATCAGATACCAGATGCTGTATACACTTAAGTTGGTTGGGAAATAAAACCATGAAAGTCTTACCCTAAGAAACAGATAGCTAATACAATCTTTTTGCTTACATTCTGTAACTATGCTTACTGCTGGAAATTCCAACTCATGATCTTTAGTCACACAAGTTAAGATTTGAACCCACAAATGACAGAAAATATTAGAAATTATGCTGGTTGGCCTATAAATGCTGTAATAAAATGTGAATCAAGACTCAGTCTATGGAGGCTATTCCACTGAATGTGAGCTGGTCTGTATAAATACATTTGAATCTCTGGTTGGTGTCTTGTGCCAGTTATTAGTATGGTGTTTCCTGTTGCAATTTTTCCTTAACAATGTTAACCATTACCTACTGAAATAAGCGTCTCTGATGAGGCTGAAAGCAATGCAAATCTATGGATATAAACATATATATTTTGAAAACATGACTATTTAACAAACTAA